ATGCCTTTATCTACTGATGATACGTTAAACGATAATGAACTAGAGAATGCTGATTATATGTTAAATGATTGTGAATTAGAAGATACTGATGATATGTTAAATAATTGTGAATTAGAAGATGCTGATGATATTTTAAATAATTGTAAACCGGGAGATGCTGATGATATATTAAACAATAGTGAACCGGAAGTTACTAATGATCTGTCGAATTCTTTAGAACTGATGACTGGACTTACCTTTTAAACATGAGAAGAATTTAAACATTGAATTCACAGATTTGCATTGAAGAACAGCTTTGACTACAAAATTAGGAGTAGCGAGGCAGATCAGGGCATAATACGAAGGGCTCTATATGTGTGCACTAGATCTGATGCCCATGATTCACAAATATCGACTGATCTAACAAAACGTAGTAAAGCTTCTTCCCAGAAAGTAAAATGCTCTTGGAAAGTAAATGTTACCTATCCAAAAAAACTTAATAAGATCAGAATTAATTCATTTGAAAATAAACACAACCATCCTCTTACTTCTACTATGATCAATGAAACTTCATCTCGGTTTCGAAAATTGATACCTGAGATGCTAGCTGACATTAAAAAGTACACAATTCAAGGCAGGCTAGATTCCGCGTCGATATACTCTTTAATTAAATATGATTATCCCACCCAGCCTTTAAATAAGTGTGACTTGTACAATGCTATTTACAATTTTCACCAGAATAATAATTTGGGAGAGTTTGATGCCTCTTTGATGCTTCAAACCTTGTTAAGTTGGAAAGAATCAGACCCATTATGGGTTGTTAAGCCACAATTAGATTCAGTATCAAGAAAGTTGAATTCACTATTTTGGATGTTATCATCTCAAAGATTATTATACAAAAATTTTTACGATGTAATATTTATGGATACCATATCGAATACGAATTGGTTCCAAATGATGTTATGCATTATTGTAGTAATTGATCATAATTTTAAAACAAGGATAGTAGCGTGTAGTCTTCTTGAAGATGAAACATTAGAATCATTTCAGTGGGTTTATGCGACTTTACTTGAAGAAACCAGTATCGTTCCTACAACAATATTTACTGACAGTGACCCAGCGATGATAAGTGCTTTAAAAACTGTATATCCTACTACCAAACATATGATATGTATATTTCATATTGATTTAAATCTTAGAAAGAAGTTAAAAGATAAATTAGGTTCTAATTTTGAGGCATTTCGTTCAGAGTTTTACCACTGCCACAATAGTTTATATAAAGCTTTTTTTGAGAGTCGATGGTCCGAGTTGTTAGATAATTATCTAGCTAGCACAAAATATTTGAATAGTACATTATATTCTACTAAGGAATCATGTGCTGTCCCTTGGATTAATAATCATTTTACAGGAGGTGCACAAAGCACCCAAAGAATTGAGTCGATTAATTCTCACATTCATCAAAAAGTTGATCGGTCAACTTCCTTATATGATTTACTAAATAGTCTTAATGACCTTATTAATCAAAGCGAGTATTTGACGAAATTTGAAATACAGCGTAATGCTATTCCTACTGTTGGATTACCAATGTTGAATCGTCATTTCTTTCTTAATGTGATAAAATATTAGAAAAGTTCTTTACTTCTAATATGCTAAACAAGCAAAGGGATCAAATAAATGCAAGTGTATGTTATGATGTTATTCGTGTTGATAAATAGGAAGACTTGATTGAAGTATGTTGTATGCTTTTTTTTTTTTTTTTTTTTATTGGGTATGATACTAATATATTTCGTAGACCAATATAGATAGTGAAACAATAGATCTTTAGATTCGAGAGCAAGATTCCGATATATGCCAAATTTTATTTAAATCAATGGTACAAAATATAACACCCAACGCAATTCTTGAAGTATGGCATGTTTGCACTACAGGAACTACAGGGAATGGGCATTATATTGTATTGCTTAAAGATGGTACTCATTTATGTAGCTGTCTTCTCTTAATTAATAAGGGTTTAATTTGCTGTCACTTTTTTTGTGTTGGCATATATTCCCTGTTGGTTACATTTCATATAACACTCATTCCAAGCCGGTGGTTTTTAGACCCTAAGATTAATGTAAAAAATCTACTTAAAGAAATTCCAGCAATTACAATTTCGGTATCTGAACAACATCAAGAAGCTTCTGAAGTTATGCCAAATATTACATTGCAACATCTATTTTCTGTTCGTTTTAATACCTTAAGCTTAGAATCAACATCTAGACCTGCTAAAGCGAGATTCGCTGAATTATTTGGGCTATCTAAGAAGGCAATTGACCATGCAATTAAGGCCGAAATTTATTCAGATTTGTCTGATGTACTCAAAACATTTATTAAAGAAGCATAAAACAAAATAAATAGAAATCAAGTTCAAGATGAGAATTATGTTGATGAGAATTATATCGACAAGAATTATGTTAATAATCCTAACATTACAAAACACAAAGGCAGATCATCTAATCGGCTTAAATCTAGTGTTGAACTAAATAATCAAGCCAAATATCATTTAAGGGATAGTACGTGTCATAATATTAAAAACGATGAATTGAAAAGTAATTCAACAACAAATAATGTAGGATCTGTAAGCGATCTTAAAGGTCGAAAGTGTGGAAAGTGCAGGCAATTCGGACATTATGCTAAAACTTGTCCAAATAAGTAGAGCATGTATAACTTACATAGTATATGTGGAACTTCCTTTTTTTTTGTTTAGAGATCATATTTACATTGTTATGAGTTTCTGTAATGAATTATAACTATCTATAAATTTGCATTGATCTTGTCTATTGATTTCTTAGTACTGTATATATTAACATCGTAATAAGTCAGTATTTCAATATTTCTAAAATAATTGCTAGTCTAATGTGGCATCAATGAGTAGGTGAGTGTGTAGAAATTGATACTGTTTATGAGGTTAGGATTAGGGCGTCATGAGTTAAATTTAGAGATAAGTGGAGAGTTTATATGCAGATTAAAAAGGGCTAGTTTTTGTCTAGTAATTATATTTGAACTGATTTTTTTTCTTATGGCTATATTAAAATAGGTCAACCCTGGTTTTACTATATAATCTACTTTAAACTTTACTCTGTATTCTACAAATTGAAATCATTAAAGCGGATTAACTAAAATTATATTGTATTTCGAATTACCTGTTTGATGCAATTGTGTTTATGTGCATATAGGTACGTACGTATGTACTGATATGTAAATCAGTATATTGAATTATAGTATATCTGTATAAATTATGCAATTTGTTGATCCTGTGTTTAAATACCCCGTGTTCAAATAGAAATGCTCTAAAATAAAAATACAATTATTAATAAAAATTTTATAAAATTTTTAATGAAAAAATAAAGATTAAATAAAATTAAAAATAATTTTTTATTTATGATTAAAAAAATCTTAGAATTTTTTTAATTTAATTTTTTCTTTGTTTATACGTTAATTTGATGTTCTCTCAGCAATAATATCATCGTCAATGATATTGCTACTAGGGCTCGATCCTAGTCTCGCACCAAATCAGTGTAATAAATAACGAAAAAAATATGACACAAACTATTATCTCTCTCTTTTTCTCCTTCTCTCTGCAGTGTTAAGAGTTAATCAATTTCACAAATGCCTCGTGCTTATGAATTTGTGGCTTGTTAAAACAAGCCACAAATTAAACGCTACTCATTTTTGTGAAATCTTGATAATTCGCTCCAGAGCCGCAAAGGCTCTTTTCTGCAAAATCGCAAGTGATTTTGTATGCTTATAAACCCAATTGCTTACGGTATGGTGGTTGTTAAATTGCGTGTTTTTACATTGATTTGAGGTTCTCGAATCATTGTAGCAAACGTGCTTATTTAATTTAAAATTATTTATTAACTTTAGCTTTAAAAATATATAAAAAGAATTT